GAATAGCCTACCTTTCTCTCCCTGCAGAAATTGCATTTTCCCTGCTCTGTACAGGCCTTAAAAGCCTCTTTGGTGGGAACAAACTGGAAGTCAGGCCCCTTCTTCCTCCCTCCCTCCCTCCCATGTCTTCTAAAAGCTTTAAGGCTGCCTCAGGGGCTCCAGGCCAGGGAGTGGAGCATCCAGTGGTTTTCCTTACGCTGCTTCAAAGCTTCACAGTTCCAATCCCTCTGAGTGGTGGCAGTTCTGGGGGCAGAGGATTGCTCCTGACCTGTGCTTTGCTTGCAGAGCTGTGAGGAGAAGTCCATCCGGAACACGAGCATCCGCGTGGCAGACTTTGGCAGTGCCACCTTTGACCACGAGCACCACACCACCATCGTGGCCACCCGGCACTACCGGCCCCCAGAAGTCATCCTGGGTGAGAGCTGCTGCCTTTGGGGACTCTCGGGGGCACAGGGCAAGTTGGCCCAGGATGATGATGTTGGCTAGGGGGAAAAACTATGCTGGGAACGCTGCAGTTCTTGGATAGATAACTTCTAAGTCTGTCTTGGTGTCATCCTTGGGGTTTCACCAAGGAGCTGGTGGAGGTTTGTGGAGAGCACACAGTGAATTTGAGTCTCTTTGCAGAGCTGGGCTGGGCACAGCCATGTGATGTCTGGAGTACTGGCTGCATTCTCTTCGAGTATTACCGTGGCTTCACGCTCTTTCAGGTAAGATTTCTGGCTAAGGATTCTTAAGGTCCAAATGGGCTCAGACATAGGTGAAGGGGAGGAAATGCAGATCAGGCACTAAAAGTCAGAAGCTGAGTGGGAAAATGAGCCCAGGAAAAGTGATGGTTTGAGGGCTGGTGCCTTGTTTGAGTCCATAAATCCCTGAGGATGGGGAGTAGGGAAGTGGAGGGATGCTGCATTTTGGGATAGGAGACAGCCATTGCCTCAGGACCTTGGGTTCAGTCCCCCTGTGGGACTCCACCCTTCCATTTCAGACAGAGGACAGGGTTCATGTCACTTCTGTGAAGAAGGGAAAATCAAGAGAGGAAGAGGTGGGCAGGACCTGCAGCATTCTCAGTGGAGACTTGTCTCTTCCTCCCCTGTCCCTGTATAGGTGACAGACCTTTTGGCATCAGCTCTCTGAGTTAAGCCCCATTGCTCTGTCCCTTTGCAGACCCACGAGAATCGTGAGCATCTTGTCATGATGGAGAAAATCCTTGGGCCACTTCCATCTCACATGGTGCACAAAACTCGGTAAGAAGCTCTTGCTGACCTCAGCCCTCACCTGCTTGGGACTCAGGACACCAATTCTCTGCCCTCACCTGTATAACCACAGAAGCTCTCCTGCCTCACTGACCACCACCTTTCCTTGGCAGGAAGCAGAAGTATTTCCACAATGGCAACCTGGTATGGGATGAGAACACGTCCGATGGGAGATACGTCCAGGAGAACTGCAAGCCCCTGCAGGTAGGTGCTGCTCCCATCCCTGATCAGAGTGGAAATTTCCCTTGGGAACTGGTTTTTATGGAGCCCCAAGCTCTCATCTGTGGTGATACTGGTGTGGCTGAGGCAGGATGGGGATTAGGGAAGTAGAATTTGAGAACCACCTCAAATTCAACAAGGGCAAGTGCAGGTCTTGCACCTGGCTGTGCTGTTACCTTCTGGAGAGCAGATCTGCAGAGAAGGACCTGGGGATCCTGGTGGGCAACAGGCTGTCCATGAGCCAGCAGTGTGCTCTGGGCCCTAGGAGGACCAGATGAGCCAGCAGTGTGCTCTGGGCCCTAAGAGGACCAATGGAATCCTGGGATACATTAGGAAAAGTACTGCCAGCAGGTCAAGGGAAGTGATCCTGCTTCTCTACTCAGCCCTGGTGAGGCCTCACCTGGGATACTGTGTCCAGTTCCAGTTCTGGTCTCCTCAGACCCAGAGGGACATGAAGCTCCTGGACCAGGTTCAGTGGAGGGTTACAAAGATGCTGAAAGGACTAGAGCACCTCAGTTACAAGGAAGCGCTGAGGGAGGGAGTTGGGCCTGTTCAGTATTGAAAAGAGATGACTGAGAGGGACCTCATTAGTGTATATAAGTATATGAACAGGGAGTGACAAGAATATGGATCAGGCTCTGCTCAGTGCTGCAAACAAGAGGCAACGGGCAGAAACTGATGCTCAGAAGTTCCCTCTGCACACGAGGAAGAACTTCCTTCCTTTGCAGTGACCAAGCACTGAACAGATTGCCCAGAGAGGGTGTGGGTTCTCCCTCACTGGAGACATCCCAGAACCATCTGGATGCAATCTTGAGCCGTGTGCTCTGGGATATGACCCTGCCTGCCCCACTGTAGTCCCTTCCAACCTGTGTGGGAGACAACCTGTTCCTCAGGCCCTGGGGCTGAGCTCTCCTGTCCCTTCTCTTGCAGACATACATGCTGCATGACTCCCTGGAGCATGCTCAGCTCTTCGACCTGATGAGGAGGATGTTGGAATTCGACCCTTCCCAGAGGATCACGTTCTCAGAGGCTCTCCTCCATCCCTTTTTTGCTGGGCTCTCCACAGAGGAAAGGATGCTGTGTGGGCGTGGAGCCAGCAGGGACCTGAGCAGATGACGGCCAGGATGGCTCAGGATGGCTCAGCAGCTCAGCCTCACTCCCCTCCCCGAGTCCAGAAGGGCTGGGGCACTGCCACAAGGACCCTGGGGAGGGGAGGGGGGAAGGAAAGTTCCCTTGGAAAGCACAGATTTGTCTATTTATATGTTGTAAAGTTAAAATAAAGTGTTTCTTATTGTTTGATACTTCCCTTGTAGGCAGGTGGAGGATTGTGTTGCTCTCAGCTTTGCCTTTGCTGCAAAGATTGAAAAGTTAACTGAACTCTCCCCCAGGTCTCTCCCCTGGCAGCAGGAAGGTTCTAGAAAGAGAGCAGACAAATAAATAGCTGCAAACACACCAGGCCAACATGAATAGTTGCACTTTATTTCAGGGCATTCCCCCCCGGAGTGGCAGGAATGAGTCGTTACAAACATCAGGTCACAAATGGAATATCAAGCAGTGCCACAGTGCAGTGATCCTCACAGGGCTGTGACCAGAGCAGCACTCATGAGCAGTTCCTATGATGATGGCTCAGGTTGGGGGGAGAAACTAGCTCAAATACAGTTAAAAATAGTGTTTCATTCTTTGAATTAACTCTGGCAATGTGGGGCATGGGGGAGAAGGGTCCCAGACTCCTTGCTGGGTCTCCCAGTGCTCCAGAAAAGCTCACACCTCACCTAAGCTGCATCTCAGGTGTGTGAGGCCAATACTTCCTCAAGGATCTGAGGGGAAATACAGCCAAATACCCAAATCTATGCTCCAGTGAGCACTGAGCTGTGTAACAGCCCAAAGCTGCCTGCTGTACCCTAAACACTGCATTGGTTGGGATTGGGAATCCCTTTTCCTTCCCTGAGGGTCTGTGCCCTCCTCTTGTGCAACACTGGCCACTTTTTTTTTTTGAACCATGGGGAACCACTGCATGGCTGCAATTAACAGAGCCTCAGTGCTTCCCAGAACTCAATCCCTGCAAAAACACCTTTTCCTGCTTCAGTGCCCTCCCAAGCAGGTAACTTAAGCCAGTGGCAGAACAAACCCTGCAATATCCTGACCCTGTTCCTGTTTGGTGTGTACAATCTCCAGTTCAACAGCCAAACCCTAAAAAGGGCAAAAACACCAAACCCTGCAGAAAGCAGAAATTGACCCAGCAAGTCTCTTACTGTCTTGAGCAAAGAGAGTGAAAATAAGGGGACTAAAGCTAACACTGACTACACCAACAACCTTTTAATCCACTGCTGCTCCTAGATAAAGATCCCAGGAAGCAGAAAGAGCTGAAAAACCAAGAAAGGCAGAGGGGAAGCCTCATGTTTGTGTTGTAAATAACTACCACTGCTGGCCCAGCCCAGGCAGAAGCACATCTTGGGAAATGTCATTACAGCATGAGCTGAACCACAAATCACCTGAGGAACAGGTGCTCCAGCTCTGCCCTGGGGGAGAGGAACCACTCCAGGGCAGAGTCCCCTCTGTCACAGCACTGCCAAGTCCCCAAGCCCCTCTGAAAGCAGCTGAGGGGAACCCAAGGCTTCAGACAGTGAGGGGCTGAGCCCCTTGTCCTGCTGAGGTAGATAAAGAATGGTGCAGGGGAGAGACCTTGGGGGCTGTGGGGCCAGCCCAGTGCTCAGCAGCCTCCTGGCTCCTCCCGGGCACTCCACACTTCCAGGATGGATTGATTGCTTCTTTCCACGCAGGGAAGTCTCTTCCCTGATCCTTTGATAGCCTTGGCCTTTGTTCTAAGCAGAGGAAAGGGAAAGATGAGTGGCTGAGTAACTCCTGTGGGGCAGGAGGTTTGCTGAGTGGGACTGGACCCACATGTCCCTGTGCTTTGGCCTCCAAAGAGATTCAGCTCCCCTGGACACAGGCACTGGTTGAAGTCCTGAAGCTCTCCCAGATGCCACAGCAGGGTCTGTGCAAGGTGCAGGCACCTGCAGGAGCCCTGGGGATGAGTAAGGTATGAGAAGAGCAGCAGAGCTTCAATCACTGCCCACACTCACAGCCCAGTTCCTTCCGACAAGCAACTCAGCTTTATGGCACCTCCTGCATCTCCAGTGCTTCCCTGGGTCAGCTACAGAGCCCTCAGAGGACACACAGAGCCAGCACGAGGCATTCCCAAAGTGATTCCCAAAGCCAGCCAGCTGCTGGCTCCTCAGCTCATCCCTGCTCCAGGCACTGCACCAAGGCTCCAGCAGGCCAACAAAATGAACACCCTAAAGGATAACCCAACTCTTCCCAGCACTGCACATTCCCTATGGAAATTCAGCATAGAATCTCCTGCCAAACCCCTCCAGGAGTGCAGCAGCTCTCACCATCCCCTCTCCTGCCAACAAACAGGACCTAAGTCCCTCCTCAGGCTGGTCCCCAGCTCACAAACACAACCACCCCACCCTAAACACAGGCTTCAAGTCCAAAGGGAATGAACAGATCCATGAGCTCCTTCCCAAACCACACCAAATGTAGGAGGAATGCTGGAAACACAGGGGGAACTTCCCCAAACATCACCTGCACCTTACACCATGCAACCAACTCAGAGCAATGCTGCTCTGCTTCCGTGGTTCTCTCCCTGATTCAGACACTCACTGTGCCAGAGAGAAGAAACAAACCCAAAGCCCACAAATATCCCGGAAAAATTCCTCTCCATTAACACATTCCCACAGACCTAGGCTTCATCCACGAAGCAAACAAAGAAAAGCCAACAGTATATAAGCAGTAAGGCCTAGCTGAGGACATCAGTGTTCCCAGAGCATGGGTAAGCTTCTGGCTCCTGCCACAGCTTTCCAAGGGAACACTCTCAATCAGGGGCTGGAAAGGCTGAGAGGGAGAACGAGCTACAACTGCCTTCCAGAACATACAACAGGGGAGGGGGAGTCAAAAGAACATCAGAACCAACCCTCAAAACAAGGGATTTCTACACAATCAAGGGGTGCTGTTCCCACCAGGATGCCCTTGCTGGGAATATCCACCCAGAAGGACCTTTGGAAAGGAAAAGCTCCAAACCCTCCTCAACTTTACCACCTCCTGAGAAGGACCAGGAACACATCTCAGAGCTCCAAACTCCTCTCAGCTGAATCACCACCTGAGAAGGACCAGGAACACATCTCAGAGCTCCAAAACCCCCTCAGTTGTTCCACCTCCTGGTCATGCCTGGGCACCAGCACCACCCCCACCACCAGGGCCAGACACCATTTTCCTGCATGTTCCTTCATCCCATGGCACGAGAGAATGGAAACAGCTTTGCAGGAACATTCACTTCCTCCTCCTCCTCTTTTTTTTTTGTTTCATTTTCTGCTTTTTTTTTTGGTCTTTAAATACACAATGTTTCTCCTGGAAGGCAAAGTCTCCAGAACTTCACATCCTTAAGGCGTCACGAGTCCACCAGCCACAATCCACTGCACAGCTTATTGGACAGAGCTCCTATTCTCTCCCTTCAGTGTTGGGACAAGCTCTAAGTGGAGTGCAGTGGGATGACAAATTTGGAGCCAAAGGGGGAGTGGTAATTTATTCCCACCTCCTGAAAGACCTTCTGGGGGATGCCAATGTCACAGAGGTAGACGCGGCCCGCACGCTCGCCCAGGGGCAGTGGCAGTCCCAGTGCCAGCGACCACTTGGCATCGATGCCCAACTCCATCTCGCTGATGGGGGGATCTATGCTGAGGACAGGGGCCCTGTTCTGGTTGGCCCAGTCCACAACTGCTTTGTACCAAGGCTGATCTCTCAAAAAGGCATTTTCATGACAATCCAGGCAGTTGATCACTAGGTCGACGGGGGTGTCTGGGAGGTCTGAAAGAAACACAAAGAGTGCAGAGGAACAAGCTGAAAGAACCAACCAAGGCCCAGCAGTGCCTCTCCTTGCACTGCCAGCACCTAGAATCAGAGAGTCATCAAGGTTGAAAGAGACCTTTAAGATCATCAAGTCCAACCCTTAACCTGTCACTGCTGTAACTCCTAAACCATATCTTCCAGTGTCAGGTCCAGATGCCTGTTAAACACCTTCAGAGATGGTGACTTCACCATCTCTCCCTGGGCAATATTCCAGTGCCTGAACACCCTAGTAAGGAAAACATTTTTCCTAATATCTCCTCTGTCTCAGTTTATGGCCATAACTTTCTTTGGTTCTGCCTCCAGCACGCCCAGTCCCTCTGCACAGCCTGCCCTTCCCTGCTGTCGGCTTTCTCCAAAAAACCCAACACCACATTCAATAGCTCTTTAGCACTCTGGGAACATCCACAACCTCTCAGGTACTAAATCTCTCAGCAGCCCAGGCAAGCAGTGGTGCTCTTTCCTCCTGCTAAAAAAAATCATTTTCTATTCCACAAGCTGAGAAAAGGCTATTTTCTGGGACCTAAGTACCTCTGCTACGGAAAGGCAGCTCACGTGCTGTACCATCTGCCCCAGTGAGCTCTGTCACTCTCACCTGCTCTGCACCACACCTCCTGCATTTCCTTCACCTGATGGACCACAAAGTCCTTGGTACAAAATCCTGGAATGATCTGGGTTGGAAAGGACCTTAACGCTAATCTTATTCCACCTCCTGCCACAGGCAGGGACACCTTCCACTAGCCCATGTTGCTCTAAGTCCCATCCAACCTGGCCTGGGAAGTGTTCCACCCACAGCTTCTCTGGACAACCTGTTCCAGTCTTTCATAATAACAGGCAAGTAGCTCTGTCAGCACAACACAGCCCTAATTCCCAGGTTTCTTTCTCCCAAGAAGTTGAAATGAACCAGGCTGGGAAAAACCACTGGTGACCTGACAAGTAGCAGCTTGTCCCAGGAGCTCAGCTCATTCTAGGGAATACTGAGATGGGAATTCTGACAGCTGCTGGGACTAGCTCAGCCAAGCTGACTCCTGCTTTGTAGCAGCAGCTGGATACTCGTTCCCTCACAGCTTCGACATGCTGAACAAGGCAGACTTTATCCTAGGAGAACTGCTTCCCTCGGATCCATATTGTAGCTCTTCCGGATTCTCTCCTACCGGAAACATCTGTACCAGCACAACTGCTCCACTGTTGAAGCTGTGAATGGCTGTAAGCAGCCACTCAGGCTTGGCAGTGCCACTAGGTGGTGCCAGGAGAGCAGGAAGGCACCGGGGAGAGGGCAGGAACCCCCGAGAGCGCAGACACCGGGCATGACCTGCAGCACGGAGCGCACTTCTCTCCTCAGCCACTTACCTTTGACACTGGACACCTGCTGGCCTTGTGTCTTGCTGAAAAGGTTCAGCTCGTTGGTGATGGATTCCAGCATCTTGACAAAGTTGGGGAGGAAGAGGATGACGTGGACGTCGTGGTTGGAGAGGTGCCGCCCGCAGCTGATGCCCTGTGCCCCCTTCACGTGGGGCCCACACAATAGTGCCACCGTGGGCCTCTGGTGCACGTTCTTGGGGTTCAGCCTGCAACACAGACAGACAAAAGGCACTGCTAATAAACCTTAAAGATGCCTTTACCTCCTTCCTGCAAGAGAAAAAGCATCAGTCACATGCAAATTGCCAGATGTTTTGCAGGTCTTCCGTTGCCTCTGAAGAAGGAAGCCACATCCTTTCGGAGCACTGACACGAGAGCTGCTCTGCTTGCAGCTTCAGAGAGTCATACAGCGGGTTGGGTTGGAGGAACCTCAAAGTTCATCTCGTTCCACACCCCTGCCATGGGCAGGGACACCTTCCCCTGGCCCAGGTTGCTCCAAGTCCCACCCAACCTGGCCCTGAATACTTCAGGGGTGCAGAGTACCCTTCCAGCATCTGAAGGGGCTCCAGGGAAGCTCCCCTGTAGTGGAAGAAGCTTTACCTGTTGGGCCCCCCAAGGAGGCTCAGGGCCATCTGACTGGCACACACTCCTGTCATCTCCAGCCTGCGTTCCATGGTCAGCCCGTGCTTCTCTGCCACTGACAGCAGCTTCTTGTGGAGCTCATAGGACACACTTGGAACCACGAGCCCAGAGTCTAGGGTTCAAAAAGAGGTCAGGGAGAAATGGGTATAATCAGAGACTGAGAAATAATGGCACTGAAGAGGGTTATTAGCTGTTACCAAGGGGCTGCTTCACCCATCACTCCAGGTTCCTTCCCAGACCACCAAATGAATGCCAAGTAGAGCACCAGCTACTCTGAGTGAACACAACTGCTGGGCTTCAAATGATGTGAAAGTAGAGCACCAGCTACTCTGAGTGAAGCAGAGACAGCTAAACACAACCGCTGGGCTTCAAATGATGTGCTGCCACCAAAATTCAGTAAGCAATTTTAGCAGCTCATGTCTGTGAAGACCTTTATGACTTCTAGATGGAACAGTACGTTCCTTCTCAATGGTCTCCAGTGCTTTAACCCACACAGAAAGTGTTCCTGAGCACTGGGAAAGGCAGAAGAGAAGCTGTGAAAGAGGTTTCCCACCAAAACAGCTTGGATGTGTTATGCTTCCTGATATTGGTCCCCAAAATCCCACATAAAGCCCCAACTCTGGCAGTGTTCAAAGCCAGGTTGGATCAAGCCTTGAGCAACCCGTTTGGGTGGGAGGTGTCCCTGCCCAGGGCAGAGGGTTGGGACCAGATGATCTCTAAGGTCCATTCCAACCCCATAACATATACGATATCACAGCAAAACAAGCCATCCCACACTTCCCAGGTAGGTGGTTCCCTGAGCTGTGCTGCTCCAGACACAAGGGAGGTTTGTCAAGTGCTAAGAACAGTGCCTGAAGTAGGCAGGGATATATCCTTCCTGTGCCAGTGCCTCACCACCCTCACAGGGAGCAATTTCTTCCTAATAGCTCATCTAAACAACATATCCCTCAATATCTTCAGCCACAGCAATCAGCCTCTTTATTCCAACTATCTCCAAACCCTTGGCTCTGTGTTTGAGAATCTGCACCTCTATGGAATCAGACACACAGAATGGGATGGTCACACAGCTGCAGCACAGCTGCCAGCAGAAGCTCTCGGTTCACATCACTCTGAGCTAAACAAGGGACTCCCAGCACCATCCAGCTGTCAGCTCCTACTCCAGGACAGGCACATGAGGTACACACGAGTTATGCACCATGGATCAAAGGCCCAGGACTCAACCCTATGCCTGCTGCAGCTCAGGCATGACACCAAACCTCAGGCCAACGCATAAACTCAACCCCTCCATCAGCTTCTCTCTGCTCCAGCAGTCCTGGCTCATCATCACAGTCCCACCAGCCACTGTACCTCTGAACTGTGGGTGTCAGTGGTCCCCTGGGTGCCCATGGCAGCCCAGCTGGGCTTGGACTACTTGTGCTGGTGGGACAGAGTCGTGGGAACGTGCCATGGCCCAGTGGAAACACTCTGCAGCACTCTGAGCTCAAAGGGAGCAGCCACAGGCCACACATCCGCCCCGAGAGGAAACCCAACCGTCACCCGTGGCTTTGGGCTCCTCTGCAGGCACAAGCATAACCAGAACCAACTGTAAAAGGCAAGAGCCACATGCAAATGAGAAAAGCAGAGTGGGTTTTAATTGTGAGGAGTTGTTTGTACTGCTGCATTTCCCCAGTCATCAACCACTGAGTGAAGTCATGGTGGAAATGGGAAGTGTTAGGACATCTTGAGCTTTTCAGAGTCAAAACAGAGGTGTTCCTGAAAGGGAGCAGCAAAATGCTGTGGAGTAGACTCTGCTGAGGCCCTGCATTGAGAGAAGTATTGCCAGCAGGTCAAGGGAGGTGATCCTGCCCTCATGAGGCACAGCTGGAGTGCTGTGTCCAGTTCTGGGCTCCTCAGGACCAGAGGGACATGGAGCTCCTGGAGCAGGTCCAGGGGAGGGAAACAAAGATGCTGAAGGGACTGAAGCATCTCACTTAGGAGGAAAGGCTGAGGAAGTTGGGCCTGTTCAGCCTTGAGAAGAGATGACTGAGAGGGACATCAATGTACACAAGTATCTGAAGGAAGTGCCAAGAGGATGGATCAGACTCTGCTCAGTGCTGCAAACCAACAAAACAAGAGGTAACAGCAGAAACTGATGCACAGGAAGTTTCACCTAAACATGAGGAAGAACTTCTTTCTTGTGCAGTGACCAAGCACTGAACAGATTGCCCAGAGAGGTCGTGGATTCTCCCTCACTGGAGATATCCCAGACCCATCTGGATGCAACCCTGTGCCATGTACTCTGGGATGGTCCTGCTTGAGCAAGGAGGTGGGACCATATGACCACTGTGATCCCCTCTAACCTGACTCTGTGAGTCCTTCTGGACTTGATTCCTGGACTCACTGGTGAGTTCTTTGCAGACAGAGGCACCAACCGTGTTCCAGCACTGACCTTGCATGCTAACTAGTCACCCCTGCTCCCCAGCTCCCATTCCATGAAGCACACATGCCAACAGGCACGTTATCAGAGCCATCCCAGACTGCTGATAGCAGCCACCCAACACTGGGAGTCACAGCCACTAATGACCCCTAAGCCTGGAGCTCCAGTCACGCACCTGCCCTGCGCTCCCACGCCCTCAACGCTCCAGTCACGCAACCTGGCTCTGCCCCACTCCCACTCGGGGCTCTTCTACTTCAGCCTGTTTTTCAGGCTTGAGGGAAGATTTGGAATGAGTGACCTGAGGTCAGATTCTCTCCAAATCGTTTGAGGGGACACATCAGCTACTAACCCCCAACAGGGAACTCCCAAACCCTATCTTTGCTCCTTTGGAACCATCCACAAATTCCCTGCTTAAAGTCTGATCATAGTATGATCACAGTGTGTAAAGGGGTTGGAATGGACCTTAGAGATCATCTAGTCCGGCCCTGGACAGGGACCCCCCCCCCCAGAGCAGGTTGCTAAAGGCATCATCCAACCTGGCCTTGAACACTGCCAGGGTTGGGGCAGCCACAGCCCCAGGGGGGCAACCTGTGCCAGTGTCTCACCACCCTTACAGGAAAAAACTTCTTCCTAATAGCTAATCTAAATTTCCCTCTCTCAATTTATCCTCATTACTCTTTGTCCTATCACTGCAGTTCCCAACAAAGAGTCCCTCTCCAACTTCTTTGAAGGCTTCCTTGTAGGGGACCTATATGTTGCACCAACTCCTCAAACCAGGAGGCCAAAACAGATGCTCTACACTCTGTATCTCCCCAACTTAGTGTGCATCATCTAGCTCTGTACCCATCCACATCCTTCCCTCAAGCACCAGCTCTAGGACCACTGCCATTCCCAGCAGCCACCCAGTGCCCAGTGGGTTAATCCCAGGGGGTTACTGGGAGGCTGCGGCTGAAGTGGCACTTAGCACGCCAGTTTGTCCTAATTGCTCCCTCTCAGGAGCAGGCTGAGATGCCAAGAGAACTTCCCTTCTGTGCCCTCACGCAAGGCTCAACCAGTCAGACAGGCTTATCAAAAGCAGGCCCAGGGAGTTAAATAAACTCTGGCACAGAGCAAGCACAGAGACGCCGTGTCAAGCCACAAACAATGACACCAGTGCCCCAAACTGAACCCCTGCCAACTTTAATTATGTTTGGGTTGGACAGGGCAGCTTTATTGTTTGTTAATGAAGGCAATAAAATGAAATTAGCTCAGGCCTTTTCATATTAAATAAATGTATTTCACAGCTGCCTGGAAAATCCAACCCACCGAGGCAGAGAGAGACTGAATGGTTTGGTGACACACTGGGGGGTGTGAAGGGCTGAGCTAACTCTCCACAAGTTAAAGAACTGAGTTTTTCTCACAAACAAGCCGTGAGTAATGTTGTACTGATGTCCAAATGCTTCCCAAGCTTGCAGTAGGAGGGAAAATGGAGAGGGTTGATGCTAGAAGAGCTCAGTGTTAAGCTCCATCTTTTCTCTTGGTGATTTCACAGTTCTCCAGTTCTGGTTCTCTGCTAAAATTAAGTCTCTAGTCCTAGTTCACTGCTAAAACAAATACAGGCAAACTGCAGGAATGGATCAGATGGAACTAGCAGGATCCCCTGGAAGCTGCACATAACACCATTAACTCTTTCCTTTAGCAATAAATAATTCCAAAGCCTTATGGTCTAAGACAGTCTGAGACCTCATGGTCTGTAACTACTCCATCAGGCTCCTGCTGTTTGGAGAGCTGGGAATCAGGCTCAGTTATTAGAACCAAAACACAGCTATTGCCCCCTGAACATCACTGATTTGCCCCACAACCTTAAGGGCTACATTTTTCCTTTGGTTAATCATTATTTTTAATTACAAGGAATTCTGTGGGAGTTCTGGCTGCCCTTCCAGTGTCAGCCTCTCCCAGCACCAGTGCACAATTCACTCCAGCTGAGCAAAAAAACTTGTCTGAGGGACAAAGGGACTTTGGCCCATGAGCACTTTGTTTTCTCCTCTGGTTGGCTCAAGTGAACTTCATTTGCACTCTCCTCAAAAGGTCCCAGAAACACTTCACACATTCACTATACACAAGGCACTCAGCCAGGGACTGAAGAGCTAAAAGCTAGAAAGAGTAGAAAAGTCAGTCAAGGACACCAAAAAAAAGCCACACTGTGGGCATCAACCTCACAGAACACACCCAACCTCACTCGGGAGGGCTAATCCTGGCACACAAACTCTGCCTCCTGCATTGATTTACTTCTAAGCTCATGTTTTCTTTCACTAGGTCCTTATTGTGAAGCAAAGAGGTTGTTTGAAGGACAGGCCTGGAGTCTGGTTTGGGGAGTACAGAAATAATGACACTTAGTCCCCCTTTTTGAGCACAGTGTCCTGCTGTCATTTGACAACTTCCAGAGCAGCTGAGTCTGAAATAGCCTGTTTCTTTTCCAGAAGAGACACTGAGATGGAAACAGGATGTTAACAGTGTTAACTATAGGATTAACTAACTGCTTTAGTCAAAGCAGGGAAAGAAAGAAACCCCTCACCCTCACATGAGAGCCATGAGGACAGCGTGGTAAGCTCGAGATTTTCCTACACAGAGTCCCTGAGGATGAACTGGACACTCCACCCTCTTTTTTTTTTCCTGCAGAATGTTGGCTTTGCTAAAAGACCCCATCTCAAAACACTCTGGAGTTCAAACACAGATGGTTTTAGTGCCAACAGAAGGAACAGAGACAGCTCTAAGCCAACACACACTGAAATTCTCTAGCTGGAAAGCTGTGGAAGTAGAAAAAGACAGCTCACACCTCACAGAATGATCAACCTATCCAGGGGTGCAGTTTTGGTGAAACACTTGCACCTTCCAGTAAATAAAGAGACACATCAACAGCACCAGCTCAAAAGAGAAAGACTAATGATGTATCTAGGGGAGGATTCACACATGGAGCCCCAGGGATGGTTCAGGCAAGAGCAAAGATGTGATAAGCTCTATCAGCTTAAGGTTCTCACTTTTTGCTGGAGCAGATTCTCTTCTTCAGTCCCTGGTTACTTCTAAAACACACGGAAGTACCTCCTTGCCAGCCTGGCTGCACAGAATGGGCTCTCAGAAGAGCAGCCCAGTGGGCTGAAGTGTTCCTCAAGCTTTGCTTACATCCTACACACACCAATGCACTACAGTCAGAAATAAGAGCCCAGGCTGGAAGCCCTGCAGGGGAGTCTTTGGGGAACTGACAGCAGCAATTTGGCTTCACCTCTGCACCATCCTGGTTATTTCCTAGCTCCATGGCATAAAAGAGCATGCAGGGATCCAGAAGCTTCTTGTCCCCCAGTGATAAGAGCTGGATATGAACTCCCTGTCAGTCTCCAGCATCAGTGTTTGTGCTGTTGCAGCAGACAGAGAATCACTGTCTCAGTCACAGCTCTATCAACACAATCATCTTTCAGACTGGCTATGGGTAAAAAAAATGACAAAGCACTTCTTTCTCCTATAACTAGGAAGCATTTTTTGCAAGTAGAGCTTCCCTCAGGAATTCAAAAAAAGCTCTGTAGGGAGAATTCCAAAGCAGAATTCCTGCCATATCCAAATCAAGGCTTTTGGAGCTACTGGCACTCATCTAATTGCAGCAGCTGCTCTTTGAGCCACTAAGAGGCAGCTGCTTACAGCTCAGCAGCCTCCTAACTGCTTAACAAAGGAACTGGGCTTGGTTTTTTTCCAAGAGATAGTCCAGCACTACTCCAGGCACATGGAATATCTGTCTGTGCCCTAGAGGGTTGACTCCACTGACTGCCAGAAACAGCAGGCAAGTTCCAGCTGTTTACAAGAGCTTTTACTGGGTAGCCATTAATTAGCATTTCCTAAGCAAGAGTAAACTTCCTCAGTGGACACAAAGGAAGTCACCCTCCGTGGGAAAAATATCCAGAGAGACACAACAGGGATCCTTGGATCATCATTCCTGAGCCTGTGGACGTGCCCAGCTCAGCACAGGCGACAGCGTGACACGCCAGCCTGTCCTCCAAACAAATCCAGAATTCCAGAGGGGACACTAATCAGCCAACAGCAGCTAATGAGGCCAGTGAGACCCTGCAAGGACAGGGGGGAGCTGCTGACCACCCTCCCTGGGCAGCTCTGCCAAGAGCAAAACAAGCCAACAGCAGTGCTCCCCTCAGCACACTGCAAAGGGCTCTAGAAGAAAGGCTGACAGAGTTCAACCAGGATTTCATCTCATCCCTAAATTTACTCACTGCTGCTTATGGCATGGCAGTTTTCCCCTCAGGAATTGTACTGCTAGAATCCCCTATGAGCCATCCTGCTCAGACTGGCAGCCAGCAGGGGCTTAGCTTTTGTTTCAGACTAGACAGCCACAGAGGCCCTGTCTCCTCTCCACCAAGCCAGCTGGAAGAAGAATTGACAAGTAGGAAATCTTCAAAACCCAACAAAATAAATAGCAACTCACAGCCAAAAATGAAGAGGTGCTTGTTCACACAGCACACAGGCAGTGGGTGCAGCTTCTTGCTACAGAGACTGAAAGCTTGTAGAGATTTAAACAGCAAGAGGCTAAAGGAAGCAGAAAAAAAGAGCCTTTAATACTGAACTCTCACTTCTGTCTCAGGAAGGCTTAAAATTGGACAAAAATCAGTTGGGGAAGATCTCACTCTGTGTTTTTTACACTTTTCCTTAAGCATCCTTGGAAACACAACACTCAGCTAGACAGTTCTGCTCCTACTCAATGTTTTCACCTCCCTTGAGAGCAGAATGGGAGGACACAAATGGAAAACTAGGATATTGTTACAAATCCATCAGCTTTCTTCCCTGAGGCATTTCACACCCCAGATGGAGTTTCTGGGCAGGGCAGGAATGACAGCTCAAGGACCTGCTCACACTTCTGCTCAGACCATCAGCTGCTTTGTGCCTCTGCAGAAAGAGCTGAAATTTGATTTTAGCCTGCGGTGGAAAAGAAATGCTCCTGGAATGGTAAATTTCCTTCACTCCTACAATTTGCAAGTGCTAAAAAGACAAGGCAGGACATCCCAAGTAAAGTTACAGGGAATTTGGAGCTAAATGTGGCCTAAAGCACATGTGCTATCCTTGAGAGCTTGTGCATGTATGGAAATACAGATTCCTTATAGTAAAATTCATTCACATCCATCAGCAGCTCCTGGGGAAATCACCATTATATGGTGTTCAGCCAAAAATGAGAGCTCAGACTTTCCCCGGATTTGAGGAGCACTGCTCACTGACCCAACCCCAATACCTTCTCCTCCAGCCAAGGGCTGACTTGGTGGCAGTAACAGAAGCACAGGAAATCTGCCCTTTACCATGAAAATACAAGCCCTGAGGCCACTCCTCCATCCCTCTGCAGAGCCAGCAATTGAGGCCATGAGGTTCACCACTACTGAAATCAAAGCAAGGATCAAACATCACCACTTCCCATTCTTGTTGTCAAACCACCAAGGACCTAACACCTCCTCTTCACTCTCCATTCTTCTTTGCCACCCCTCAGATCTGTTCCCTCCTATAAAAAAACACCTTGCTGCCCTAGCTGAATATTTATCTCAAAAATACCCCAAATAAAGGCTCTGTGCAGCTACACAAACCCAACGTTACATGACCAAATACCACATGAAGCTGCCAGACACCTCTTAGACAAAAAAACACCCCCCCCACATGCCCCACAAAAGCATCAGTTTGGCTCCTTTTCAGCCAGGGACATGGCATACCCGTGCAGAATTCCTTGTTGGCATTCTGGGGTACCACAATCCTTCTGTAGACGATGGGCTCTGACTCCAGGATGTTCTCGTCGTGCCGGTACCGAGCTGGTTTCTCGTTGGGTGTCCCCCTGGAACGAGTGCCACTCCTCCTCTCGTAGGTTTCAATCTCTTCAAACACAGCTGCCTTGTCGAAGAGAGCCAAGTTGCCCTCGAAGTCAAAGTCTGTGTCAGGGATCTCATCGATGTCGTCCCCAAAGCACTCATCGTCTTTGTTCTTCATCTGGCCATTCTTCAGGCCACTCTTCTTGGGGGTCACTTGGTTGGGGTGACGGCTGCTGGATGACCCTGTGCAGAAGGAAAAGCAAGTTGAAAGAGGGTCGTAAGTGGGAAAAAGCCATTTGCTCAGCAGTTTCTGTCAGAGGGGAGCTCATGCTTGCAGTCTGCCCACTCAAGGGACATTTGCTTCCCCAAGAAGCTGTCACTCTCATCCTTGGCATTACCTGTGCTCAGCTAAGCCAACAGAAAAAGAGCATCAGGAAAGAGACTTTCAGGGACTCTCCACCAGCAAGGTTAGAAAAACAAGCTCAAGTACAGTAGCAAAAGAAGTGTTTGTCCCCATTTTACTCAATCCTTGACGGTGTCATATTGGTAAGATAACAAAACAAGCTCAAGTACAGTAGCAAAAGAAGTGTTTGTCCCCATTTTACTCAATCCTTGATGGTGTCATATTGGTAAGATAACAGGCTACCTATGATCTAGGAGTTCTCCTCCTAGACCACACATCTTCCTGCAGGAGT